TAGAAAAAGGGCTGTTATGCTTAGAGTGGGGTGTGAGAGAAAGAAGAGTCTCCCTGTAACATCGAAACTGAGTGAGAGACCAGAAATCCTTTTGACTTCTGAGACTTGAAGCTGCTTAACCCAAGGCTTTTTGGCAAGTACTTATCTACCTAAACTCCTTTCTGTTATCTCTTTGCTGTGCTATTGTTCTTTGTATATGTATATATATATATATATATATATATATATATATATATATATATATATATTGGCTACATCTTTTTTCTGTAAATATTTTTATTGCACCCTTTGGACCTTTTAGTAATAAGTCTTACTTTCTGAAAGTGTTGAACTGTTTCTAAAGCTTTTTAATGCAACTTACGAATTCCTGCCGCTGAAGAGCGCTACTATGTGTGTTTAACCCTCTGTATAACCTGTCTGCGGTGACAGTGGTATACAGACGATTATTTCAACCATCCTAGTGTTATTGCTGATATTGCCGAGTTTCCTCTTTCTCTCTACAAAAAGGAGATGGTGGCAATGTGAAGGGTTAATTGCGTAATTAACCAGACCCAGTAACAATCGCGCTCAGGCTGCCGGTACATCGATTTGTGGTCCAGTGAGCTGGAAAATCGTTGTGCAGGGTGCGGCTGGGTGGGGAATTGTTACGCACGTGACATCGCGGTTTTAGATTGGCTAGTCCTTCGGTCACGAGTTTGGTGAGAAGGGCAGGGGTCTGACGCCGCGATCGTCAAACCACCCAGTGAGCAAAACCCATTCAAGTGAAATGCTAAATACTATTGATTATCAGGTAATGTAGGGCCCAGAATACAATCATTTTTGGAATAGAACAATGTTTTTTTTTTTTTTTATGATGTTCTTCACCAAATAGTACTGTGATCAAAAGGTAGTGATAAAAGAAAGGTTAAAGGTGTCTAGACTTATTCTGTTATCTTTATTTCCTAAAGTGTTACTAAACCCACAACCATAAAATCAGTCTGTATATGCAGTAAAGCATGCTTGTTATACTCACTGCGGAACGTAAGGGGTTAATCCTCCGCATTGTTTAAAAAGGATGTTTGATCTTGTCTTGTCTGATCCTCCCTTTCTTCTACTGTCCCCAATCCACCCGCTGATAGTACAGAGCTCTAGGAGTCACTCTACTTATGCTCAGTTTAGTGTGTATTTCTAGAGTATTTTTTTTTTCCCCAAATCAGCACTGTCCAGACTGAGGGTCAGGGGTTATGCAGCCTCATAGAATAGTTGGAGCAGAATGAAAACTCCTCCTACAAACTAACCAGTGCTCGGCTGGACACTGATAAAAGTCACAGGACTGCTATATACTGCTGATGAGAAAAGGTATTTAGCAGTTTATATTTACTAAAATAATTTCAGTTCCTTTTTCTGTGCACTGTGGGAGACCAAATATAGTGAATACAGGGTCATGGGTTTAGTAACACTGTAATAATTGTTTAGGGTTGTGCTGTTTGAGCTGGGCAATTGTTCTATTGAATGTATCTAAACATAATCTTTGTCAAGCAATCTTGATTCCAATGTTGTGCATACTCCAAAAAATCATTAGAACTTGCACAATTATGCCTGAGCCCTAGGAACTGAAGATAGCCATGAAGGGTGATGGCAGCTTTCAGAGGGAATGAAACCATTCCTATCCATGGTTTTAAAAAAAAGTATTGGTCTTAATGGAATCATCAACTATGGTAATCCTTAAATCAAGAAAATGGATGTCTACAAAACTTGCCTAATAGCTAAGGACATACAGTGGATATAAAAAGTCTACACACCTCTGTTAAAATGTCAGGTTTTTGTGATGTAGAAAAAATGAGACAAAGATAAATCATTTCAGAACTTTTTCCACCTTTAATGTAACCTATAAACTGTACAACTCAGTTGAACAACAAACTGAAATCTTTTGAGTGTAGGGAAGTAAAAATAAAAAACTAAAATAATATGGTTGCGTAAGTGTGCACACCCTTAAACAAATACTTTGTTGAAGCACCTTTTGATTTGATTCCAGCACTCAGTCTTTTTGGGTATGAGTCTATCAGCATGGCACATCTTGACTTGGCAATATTTGCCCACTCTTCCTTGCAAAAACACTCCAAATCTGTCCTATTGCGAGGGCATCTCCTGTGCACAGCCCTCTTCAGATCACCCCACGGATTTTTCATCGGATTCATGTCTGGGCTCTGGCTGGACCATTCCAAAACTTTAACCTTCTTCTGGTAAAGTCATTCCTTTGTGGATTTGGATTGTATGCTTTGGGTCATCGTCATGCTGTAAGATGAAGTTCTTCTTCATGTTCAACTTTCTAGCAGAAGCCTGAAGGTTTTGTGCCAATATTGACTGGTATTTTGAACTGTTCATAATTCCCTCTACCTTGACTAGGGCCCCAGTTCCAGCTGAATAAAAACAGCCCCAAAGCATGATACTGCCACCACCATGCTATACTGTGGGTATGGTGTTCTTTTGGTGATGTGCAGTGTTTTTTTGTTTTTTTTGCACCAAACATATCTTTTAGAATTATGGCCAAAATTTCAACCTTGGTTTCATCACACCATAACACATTTTCCCACATGCTTTTGGGAGACTTCAGATGTATTTTTGAAAAATTTAGCCGGGATTGGGTGTTTTTCTTCGTAAGAAAAGGCTTCCATCTTGCCACTCTACCCCATAGCCCAGATATATGAAGAATACGGAAGATTGTTGTCACGTACCACAGAGCCAGTACTTGCCAGATATTCCTGCAGCTCCATTTAATGTTACTGTAGGCCTCTTGGCAGCCTCCCAGACCAGTTTTCTTCTCGTCTTTTCATCGATTTTGGAGGGATGTCCAGTTCTTGGTAATGCCACTGTTGCGCCATATTTTCTCCACTTGATGATGACTCTCTTCACTGTGTTCCATGGTATATCTAAATGCCTTGGAAATTCTTTTGTACCCTTCTCCTGACTGATACCTTTTAACAATGAGATCTCTCTGATGCTTTGGAAGCTTTCTGCGGACCATGGTTTTTGCTGTAGGATGCGACTAAGAAAATGTCAGGAAAGACCTACTAGAACAGCTGAACTTTTATTTGTGGTTAGTCAGAGGCATTTTAAATGATGGCAGGTGTGTACTGACTTCTATTTAACATGATTTTGAATGTGATTGCTTAATTCTGAACACAGCTAATCCCTAGTTATAAGAGGGTGTGCACACTTATGTAACCACATTATTTTACTTTGTTTGCTTCCTCACCTTAAAAGATTTCAGTTTGTTGTACAGTTTACAGTCACATTAAAAGACGGAAAAAGTTCTAAAATAATTTATGTTTGTCTCATTTTTTTACATCACATATATGACATATATGACTAGAGATTGCATATTACCATCCCAAATTGGGATAACATGATCAATATAGCATTTCCACATTATCAGCTCAAGTCTCTTATCCTCGAGTATAGTATCTTGCTCCCACTTGGCCATAAAAAGTTTGGACAAGCTGGGAGCAAGTTTGTTCCCATGGCTACACTTTTTATTTTGTACATAAAAGGACCCACCGAACCAAAAATTATTATGTGTCATTGAAAATTCAAGAAGTTGAGGAATAAACCTTTTCTGAATCTCTGGCAGGCAGTGTTAATGTTGATGTCAAATTTCGATTTAGTTTTGGGTATAGTCTTTTGACTAAAATGCCATTTTAGTTTTAGTTGTATCTTAGTCATCTGAATTGTTTTAGTCAATTAAAATCTAATCGCTTTAGTTAAATTGAAATGCATTATTTAAGCATTTCTCTCGAACTGCCAAACTCAATATATACTCCTGGAGTAAAAAATCGAATAATGTTGTTATTTATGGTATTAAGGTTTGAACATGCACTACAGACACAAATTTAGCCGTTGTGATATAGAACATCTTTATAAATAAAACCAAGTTTCGTAAACAAACAAAAATATTGCTTTTTGACACACAGAAGTGCAACTTTAAAAAAAAAAAAAAAACCAAATACTGTAATGCATTTGCACATATTACCTGAATATATTACCAAGCCTTTTTCTTATTTGTTTTTCTTTCAGGAGCTTAGTAGATGCCCCCTACATAGTCTTATGTGGTAGTGCAGTGTTAATTTTGGCGTAAAATTTTGATTTGGTTTTAGTCTTAGTCTTTTGACTCAAAATGCCATTTAGTATTTTAGTCATCTGAATTGTTTTAGTCGTATTTTAGTCGACAAAAATAGTGTTAATTTAGTTGCCGAAAATATTTTTGTTGGCGAAATTATCAACACTGCTGGCAGAGTAGAATCTATATTCAAAAAATGCTGTACAGCTTCATCCCAACTCTGATCTGTGACATACAGGTATATAAAGAGACCACATCTGCTGTGGTCATAAAATAACCAGAACGCCATTGTGGTGTTCTTAGTGTCCTTGAGGAATGTAGGGGGTCTGCATCATCAGTGGCTGAAGGTAATGATCTATATATTTACCAGCTCTTGATGTAACAGAATCAATGCCACTTGATAATGGGATGCCCTGGTCATGTGTGTATCTGTTACTCTTGTCTTATGTGGACTTTATATGCACAGATGGTTGAAGGTTTAATTTTATTTCTCAGGTATTATATATGTTAATGATGTTACTTGTTGCATTTGCATAAGAAAGAAGTGCACTGAAGAGCTGACCACATGGATATCTTTACTTATGTGGACTTTATATGATTTTATATGCACAATTTGAATTTGAATTTTTTTTCTTATGCATTGATTATGTAAATTATGGTATTTGTTGCATTTAAATAAGAAAGAAGTACATTGAAGATCTGGTCCTGTGGATATTTGTCACTCTTTTCCTATGTGGACTTTATATGCACAGCCTAAATGTTAATTTCAGTTCTCACTTATTGTAGATGTTAATGATATTATTTTTTTGCATTTGCATTTTCTAAATTTCTGCATATAATTCTAGCGCTACTAGTGCTTTCACCTGTGAATATTTCCCAATTCCTCTTGTGATTTCATACACAGTGCCAGAATAAGCTGATGGTTCTAGATGCAGAGACATTACCGGAGTCTGATGTGCAGGTGAGACAAATTCTTTCATGAGCTTTCCAAAAATAGTTCTTTTGTCCTGCTTTTCATATCCCTGATTTTTATGAATGTTTCTGAAGTTTGTGAATGACCCCTTCTTCAGTTTGGCATTCAGAGGTGGCTGCCATTACTATTTTATGTAAATAACATTATTGTAATAAACCTTTTAAAGCTGAATTCCAGGTATAGATTATATTGCATAGTCAGATTGGTCCAGCTTGGAACCAATGTAAGTATGCTTATGCCATACCTGTGGGAATGCCGTGGAAGCAAAGAATCACTGTAGTGGTCACCATTACTACATTGATCACTGCTGTCTTCCAGATACCATGCAGGGTGGCTGCCCTGCTGCAAAGTAAGCAATAAACTCAGTAATAACAGAACGAGTAAGCAAGCGCTAAAATAATTCCAAATGTATAAGCAGCTGTACACCAAAAAAAGGTACCCATAAACCTTCTGAAACACATATACAAAGAGGGGGTGCAGCGCTACTAAACTCAACAATGACAAAAATGCATATATGAAGAGACAAGGTGCAAATACAGAGGCCACTAGATGGTGGTCAAAGGTGCTAAAGGGTGTTGACTCCGTTAAAAGTCCAGAGAGAAGAAGTGCTGTTGAGATTTCAGATGATCTCAGGGTGTCCAGAGATATGGACCGTGGATCTTGGTGATAAATAATGAGATTGCACACTCACCAGATACGCAATTCAAATGCGCATAAATAGTAGTAAGCCTCTGGTCATCCAGATGTCATCCAAATAGGTCTGGTCAGATCAGGTCAGATTGATCCTCATTCCCTGGCGGTGTTATCACTCATGGGGGATCCCCACTCAATGGATACAGCCTGCTCCCATGGGGTCTCCTCACAAAGAATATGGCTGGTTAGGTAGAAGACTCCTGTTATAATCTCCTGTTTCAGCTTCAGTTTATAACTCCACTTTGTCAAAGTTCAAGCAAGCAAAAGGTGGGCTGCCCACAGGAGTCTTCTACCTAACCAGCCATATTCTTTGTGAGGAGACCCTATGGGAGCAGGCTGTATCCATTGAGTGGGGATCCCCCATGAGTGATAACACCGCCAGGGAATGAGTATCAATCTGACCTGATCTGACCAGACCTATTTGGATGACATCTGGATGACCAGAGGCTTACTACTATTTATGCGCATTTGAATTGCGTATCTGGTGAGTGCGCAATCTCATTATTTATCACCAAGATCAACGGTCCATATCACTGGACACCCTGAGATCATCTGAAATCTCATCAGCACTTCTTCTCTCTGGACTTTTAACGGAGTCAACACCCTTTAGCACCTTTGACCACCATCTAGTGGCCTCTGTATTTGCACCTTGTCACTTCATATATGCATTTTTGTCATTGTTGAGTTTAGTAGTGCTGCACCCCCTCTTTGTATAAGCAATAAACTCAATTCTTGTAGTACAACTTTCATGTTTCTTTTTTTTTTTTTTTCTGTTGCATTTATGCAGAATGAGCGCTGTACAAGTGTATAAAAAATGTTTTCATTTCTCAACAGAAGCTTGATTTAATGTTAACTATTTTTATTGTTTCATTATTGAAGTGGACCTAGTCTTAGAGTTATTTTTCATATATGTGTAAGTATAGCACTTTCAGGTATTTATTGGAGGTATTCCATTACTACCTCAACAATCATCAGAATTGGAATATACTTCTAGAGTAAGATGCAGTCATATAAATGTTGGTTACCTGTACAATAGTCTTTGTTCTTGGCTGTTTTCAGCCCCTGCTGCAACCTTTCAGTTTGTGAACTAATAAAAGATAACATTGTTACCATAGTCTAAGCAAGTGATTGCTGGGAGTAAAAAAAATGCTTCCTCCTTCTTTCAGCAGACTGATGACATCATTGTCCAAAATGCTTCTCTAGGGTCTAGGCACTGTCAGTAAACTGAAGTTGCTTTTTAATGATCAAAGCATTATACAGTATATGCTGAGATATGCCCGGAATGTTCATGGAGACTTATAAAGTTAGTTATAGGTCTGCATTAACGGTTCATTTAGCATCTGTATTCTTTCTCACTTCTGTAATTCCTAGCTTCTGCTGCACCCTTTTGCAGTAACAAATGAAAATTTTTCCATTAAACATTATTTTCTTTTCTTTTTTTATATATAGCTGCATCTGCTTATGCTGAAAGTAAAGGCCCTAACAGCAGAATGTGAACAGTGGCAAAATAAGACGCCAGACAGTAAGTATTTCTAGGATAACTAGCTAGTTTATTTGGGCAGTGTTAAGGCAAAAAGTAAATCACAAACCCTACATTTAAAACCCCGAAAGTTCAGTATTGTCTCCTGAAAAAAACCAGAAGGTTTTAACACAACATCTCTTCCAACACAAATCCAAAAGGTTTATTTCTCATACTTAAAGCGGAACTATACTGTATCTGAGCACCACAAACTAAAACCTCTATATACATTTGTTTTAATATTTAAAGCAAACTCACCCATCCGTCCATGTCTCCATGCTTTATTTTGTTGAGAAATCAGTTAGAAAAACACCCCCTAGCATTTCTGGCCATGGCCATCTTGAGTAATGGCAGATATTCCATGTATCTTATTTATTTACTTCAGGTACTTATATAGCGCTGTCAATTTACACAGCGCTTTACATATATATTGTACATTCACATCAGTCCCTAACCCTCAAGGAGCGTACAATCTAAGGTCCCTAACTCACATTCATACATACACATACTAGGGGCAATTTAGACAGCAGCCAATTAACCTACCAGCATGTCTTTGGAGTGTGGGAGGAAACCGGAGTACCCGGAGGAAACCCACGCAGCCACAGGGAGAACATGCAGACTCCAGGCAAGTGGTGGTGCCGTGGTTGGGATTCAAACCGAAGACTTGAGTACTGCTAGGTGAAAGTGCTAACCATTTAGCCACTGTGCTGCCATATGTAGCAATTACTTCCTGCAATCTATCTGCCCTTAGCTTAGGCATGTAGGCAGGAAGGTGTGCTTTGCTGAGAAAACCCCTCCTCCTTCCCAGAAGACTCCTGGGATGTATGTCATAATTTGCCTTGGCACAGAAATTAGGAAGTAACTAAAGAAATGTAAAAAAAAAACTGTTTAAAACAGGAAAGTATATTATATTTACTTATCTATTTACCAATGGTAGCAGCATAAGGATTCAAAATAGTCAGTGGTAATTGAGAGAGTGAAGTTCAACTTTAAGTTGGGTACACACGATAAAAAATTCCATACAGGGAACAATCGATCGATATGACAGCCAATTCTGACTGTTCAGATAAAAAAAAAACAAAGGTACAAGATAGAAGATTTTTATCGTACGTGAACACAGCGTCCTATTTTTCCCTCAATGTGTATGGTAATAGTATGGAAATAAGTGAATAGAAAAAGATGCACATGATCAGAAGTAAAGAACGACCCATAAAAAGAAATCCTACACAAGAAAGAACATTTGCCTTTGTTTGAGAATTTTTGTGCAAGTTAATACCATTGTTGATTACATCATGATATGCGCCTTCGTGGAAAATCGGACGATCGTGTGTAACCCACTTTAGAGCCATGAAAGACTGAATTAATGACGGTATAAATATTATCTGTGTCTTACAAAAGTAAATTAAGGTTGTACTTTATTTTTACACAAGAATTTGGGTTGAAATTTACTTTGTAGATAGATTGCATTTTGTGTTGAGAATGTACGCCACTTTAACAAAATAAGCAATATATATATAGCATTCATAAACTATTCAGATCTTCTTCACTTTTTTCAATTTTGTTATGTTGCAGCTTGATACTTCAGTTGTTTTAAATTCTTTTTTTGTTCTCATGAATCTACACTCAGTACCACATAATGACTTGAAAACGGAATTGTAGAAATGTCTGTGAATTTCTAAGAAAAGAAAAAACTGAAATATCCAGAGCCTCTCTTTTCCCCAATCTGTCTGGTTATCTCCTACTCTGTCTGCCTTTAGGCGGTCCATTAAAACTCAGCACTTTAGGAAGCTTACCCCACTCCCACCAAAAAATTGTACTTCAACCTTCTCCATCAGTTCATCCCCCATAGTCATCACCTCTTGTGTAATTTGCTCTTTCTTTTTAGATTGTAGGACCCTCTTGTATCAGATTGTATTGTTACTGTTCTGTCTCTATTTTGGAAAGCACTGAGCAAACTGCGCTATAGAAATCCTGTGAAATAATAATAATATTAGGCTAGGTATCTTTCTGGAACTATTGAATTATGGTGTAATTTAAACTTTTTTTTTGTATTCATGGCATTACTCAGGTTTCATTTTTGAAAGTTTTTTCCTTGTACTGTACATTCTTATGTTTGAAAAAAAAAATCATTTACAGTGGAACTAAACCCTCCTCTGCTTTTCAGCCAAGAAAGCTGCCATCGTAATCTCTGTTTGATCTGCAACTGTCATGATGCTATGCATGTGATCGGTGATGACATTAGTCATTTGAATGGTTTGGTTGAGAGCACGAGCACATGTGACAGTTACATTCTTGGCATGCCGGGAATGTAACTGTTTTTTGAAACCATTAAATCAATGGTTTAGTTCATTTTAAAAAGGGGGAATTTCACCCTTACTTTAAAAATTACAATAGACACCTTTAGAAATATTTAATAGTGGCAATCCCCAAACAGATACTTTTAGATAAATGCAGGCATTCCATTGTTTGTATACCATATCTTTCTATTCTTCCCCATTCTTCTTTGGTGGCCATTTTAACTAAGGGCAGATAAATCTATCTCCCTTTACTTCCTGGAACTCTGGGCTACTTCCTGGAACATGGGACAGTGCATTGAGTGCTTGTTCACCTCTCTTACTAAACCTCTTCTCTCCTGATTGCTCAGTTTGGCTGGGCTACCAGCTCTTGGAAGAGTTATGGTTGTTCCAGACCTCTTCCATTTGAAAATTATGGAGGCCACTGTGCTCTTGGGACCTTCAGTGCAGCAGACATTTTTGTAGCCTTCCCCAGATTTGTTCCTTGCAATAACCCTGCCTCTAAGCTCTGCAGGCAGTTCCTTTTGCTCTCTTGGCTTTTGCTCTGATACAGTGTGCATTGTCAGCTGTGAGGCCTTTTTATTGAGAGGTGTGTGCCTTTCCAAATCATGTCCAATCAATTTAATTTACCACAGGTCGACTCCAGTCAGTGTAGAAACATCGCAGCAGCAATCAAGAGAATTGGGAGTGCTATTGCAAAGGGTCTGAATACTTATGCCAATGTGATCTCCTTTTTCATACATTTGTAATAATTCCTAAAATTCTGTTTTCATTTTGTTATTAAGGGGTACTGAGTGTAGATTCATGAGAAAAAATTAATTTAAACAACTGTAATATCAGGCTGCAGCATAACAAATTTGAAAAAAAGTGAAGGGGGTCTGAATACGTTATGAATGCACTGTATTTGCATTAATTCTTCTGTGGCAGAAGTATTCCTAGGTTGCCTTGATCATACGTGGCCAGCATTAGATCCATGCAGACCCCAGAATTAGCTGTTTTTTATTACACAATGCAAGCTTATTTTTGATGTGTTTATGTATGAACTTTTCAGGGAGAGAGGAATATTTCTTGTTAACCAGCATCTGGAGAGATCATCAGACTAATTACCCCTCAGTATCCTTCCTATTTTATCGGTCCAGGGCGAACATTGTTCAACAAGCCCTGAAGGGGGATCCTTTGAACCTCCAAAGCATGTAGGCTTTTTATGACATAAGAGCCTGAATAAAATTAAATCTACATTTTATATGTTCTCCTTTTGGCACTTTCCATCATGCACACTCTGTTCCTACTCAAGCTGACCTTCAGCTACCACTCCTAGGAGAAGTATGTAAGGATAACCATTCCCTTTACACTGCTTGAGACCTGACTGAGAACATCCACTGCTTCCAGATCCAACGCCCCACACCTTTCTTTTACTTTCCATATGTGAGATGAGGCACTGCTTGCTCTTCTTTTAGCATATCGTCATACTGTGTTCACACACAAGAAGTATGATGGGGAGAATCCATTTGTTTCCTGTGAGCAGAAGTCCATTCTTATTTCAGACACTTTTATGCCTAAGGTTTTTTTCCTTTGTTTCTTTATACATGTTACTTCCCATGTAAACAGAATGGCAGTCTCTTTCCTCTTCTAAAGAGTCCGAAAAAAGGTTATATATCAAACTGAATAAAAAAAACTTAATGCCTGTAAAAGGAGAAGTAGGGCCAAAGCTCTGATTAGTTGGTGGGTGTGGTGGCTGAACAAACTACCCATTACAGGCATGCTGTGTGCCTGCACAGTGTCCTGTACCTCTAAATGGCCAGCCAAAGGATGAAAACTGACTACGCTAAGAAGATCAGCCTGTGGTGTTTGTTGCAGTTTAGAACAAGAAGGAAAGGTGAATAGCAGGATCAACCAGGTACTTCAGATGGAAGAAGTACATGAAAATGATAGAGACTATGATCTATAAACTACACACATGTATGCGAACACACACATAAAAAAAAATTAAGGTAATATATACTTTAATGTATATAAGAGAGATTTTCTGTAAAGACTGCATTGTGTCAAGTATAAAATTTGGTGGAGGGGTGATAATGGTGTGGGGTTGTTTTTCAAGGGTTGGGCTTGGCCCCATAGTTCCAATGAAGGGAACTCTTAAGACGTCAGCATACCTAGATATTTTGGTCAATTTCATGCTCCAGCTTTGTGGGAACAGTTTGGGGATGGCCCCTTCCTGTTCCAACATGACTGTGCACCGGTGCACAAAGCAAGGTCCATAAAGACATGGATGAGCGAGTTTGGGGTGGAGGAACTTGACTGGCCTGCACAGTCATAACCTCAACCCGATAGAAAACCTTTGGGATGAATTAGAGTGGAGACTGTGAGCCAAGCCTTCTCGTTCGACATCATTGCCTAACCTCACAAATGTGCTTCTGGAAGAATGGTCAAACCTTCCCATAGACACACTCCTAAACCTTGTGGACAGCCTTCCCAGTAAAGTTGAAGCTGTTATAGCTGCAAATTCTGAGCCAACTCAATAATAAATCCTACAGACCAAGACTGGGATGCCATTAAAGTTCATGTGCGTGTAAAGGCAGGCATCCCAATACTTTTGGCAATATAGTGTATGTTAACTCAAAAAAACAGTTAAAATAAAATTGACCAAGCTTATCATAATTTTCCTTTAAAAGGGTATGTGACTGAGGTGTGGGCGGAACAGAACACACG